ATGGTTTGCAGTTATGTGCTAATTAAACACTGGTCATTATGACTAACAGTGACAGAGTGCTTGAAAAGAACCAAGTCACAATTTACCTGCTTCTACATTATATTTCAGCAACAAACCATGGCTTCTAAAGTTAATTGTTCCTCTGGTAAGGGGCAGGCATATCTAAGGAGATCTTTACCACAGAAATGCCCAGTATTTATTTCTTACATTCAATATCTAAAGTTCTCACTTTATCTTCTCCACTAACCAGGAAAGTTCTTTAGAAACCTGTGGTTTCTTAAGAAATCTATAATCCTTGCACAACTTTCTTTGTTATGTTCTTCTGAGTAACAAACTCTGCCCACCAGCTGATGTCCTTTCCCCAGGCAAGGACTAGTGCTTCCAACAAGGATGACATCAACCCCTGTCTTTGCATTCACATGATCAGTGCCTTTCCTGAGATTCAAGATGAGATCTTGACCAACTCACAAAATGGTCTAACTATCTACAAGACATTAATTGACCTGCAGACAAGAAAGTGATAGAAGAATTTAGGTTCAGAGATGTTTTATCTTTAAGAACATTTAGGCCAGGTGGTGGTGGCGCACACCTTTTAATCCCAGCACTCAGGAGGCAGAGGCAGGTGGATCTCTGTGAGTTCGAGGCCAGGCTGGACCGACAGCCTCCAAAACAATACAGAGAAACCCTGTCTCGGAAAAACCAAAAAAAAAAAAAAAAAAGAACATTTAGGGCAAGACACTATTGTCATCCTTCTAGAAGCCATGCAAGTCACGAGGAATGACGTGCTTTTCTTGTGCCTGTTGTATTAAAGAATGAATACATCACAGAAGTGGCTCTCTACATGTTTATAGGTCAATAGTTGATGCAAATTTATAGAGGTTGACTGTGTGAAGAATGAAACGAAGTCTCTCTTCTATACAAATATAGACCAGGGCTGTTACTAATGAACTATTCCATGTCCTCAGTAAGGAACTTCACTTCAGGGCATAGAATTTTAGGAATGTAAAAGTACAATACCCTGGCCCATGAAATCTAACTACTCATAATGTGGGCATAAGAATGAAAATGGAGACAAGCCATGACGATGATCTGCATGAAATTTCTCACGGTTCCTACTTTACAGAAACAGCTAACAGTTGAAATAGCTTTCCATTGTTTTCATATAACACTACCACATTCTTTTACTGTTCATTTGGCAATATTCAGCTGAGGAACTGGAGAGATGTCTCTGTGGCCTTGGTTTCAATTCCTAGCACCCACATGGCTGCTCAGGACTTTCTATATCTGTACTTTCATGGTATCTGATGCCTTTTTCTGGAGTATAGACATACATGCAGATAAAACATCCATATACAATAAATAAATAAATAAATAAATCTTAAAAAGAAATGTTGAAAATTCTCTTGGAGATTGGTGGTTTAAGATTTTGAAAGTGCTATAAACTTTCCTCTCAACACTGCTTTCAAAGTGTCCCATAAGTTTGTGTATGTTGTGTCTTCATTCTCATTAAATTCCAGGAAGTCTTTAATTTCTTTTTTATTTCTTCCTTTACCCAGGGATGGTGCAATTGTGCATTGTTCAATTTTCATGAGTTTGTAGGGTTTCTGCGATTTGTGTTATTGTTGAATTCTAATTTTAATGCATGGTGCCCTGATAAGATACAGGGGGTTATTCCAATTTTTTGTATTTGTGGAGAGTTGCTATGTTTCCTATTATGTGGTCTATTTTAGAGAAGGTTCCATGTGGTGCCGAGAAGAAGGTATATCCCTTTGTGTTTGGGTGGAATGTTCTATAGATGTCTGTTAAACCCAGTTGGGTCATAACTTCTATTAGTTCTTTTTTTCTTTGTTAAGTTTCTGTCTGGAGGTCCTGTCTAGTGGTGAGAGCGGAGTGTTGAAGTCACCTACTATTAGTGTGTGAGATTTTATGTGCATTTTGAGCTTTAGTAATTTTTCTTTCATGAACGTAGGTGTCTTTGTATTTGGGGCATAGATGTTTAAAATTAAGACTTCATCTTGATGTACTTTTCCTTTGATGAATATGAAGTGTCCTTCTTCGTATCTTTTGATTGATTTTAATTTGAAGTCTAGTTTGTTAGATATTAGGATTGCTACACCCGCTTGTTTCTTGGGACCGTTTGATTGGAAGATCTTTTCCCAACCCTTTACTCTGAGATAACGTCTGTCTTTGATGTTGAGATGTGTTTCTCGTATGCAGCAGAAGTAAGCGTTCTATCTTCGTATCCATTCTGCTAGTCTGTGTCTTTTTATAGGCAAGTTGAGGCCATTGACATTGAGGGATATTAATGACCATTGATTGATGCTTTTTGTTTGTGCTTGATTTATTGTTAGTGAAGTTATTTTGTGTAGTTTCTCCTCCATTTGGGATTGACATGTAAAACAAACTATTTAAAATTAAAATAAAAAAAATTTAAAAAAGATTTTGAAAGTGGCTTTAGAATGCTACTTTTAAAAATGATTCCCCAAGTTGACTTTCTATGATGTATGAGGATCACCTAGACTTTGTCCCCTCTTCTCTTGGTCTCTATAAGTTTTATTGCCATATTCATTGTTAAAACTTGCAGACTTTCTTTATCTCAGTGTTGGAAAAGCTCTTCTCCATCACAGCATGGACATTTCTGTGTGAAAATGAGAACATCTGTGATTACAAATAAAAGAACATTAAAATATTGGATCTAACACTTCTTCATGTAGGGGTAGGTGCATTTAGGAGACTGCAAAGAACAGTATCATGAGACAGTCTAGAAAGATCCCAGAGAACACTTGATATACCCTTGGATGTATCTTTTTAATATGTTCTGAAGATAGGGAGAGGTTTTTATTTGGTGGTGTAGCTTCTTTACAAGTTGCTTAGTCCCAGTTAAAGTTATTAATCCCAGTTAAAGCTACTCATCTACTCTGCTAGACTAGGGAGGAATCATTTCTTTGACATATCACTGAAACCTTATCAGGGCTGAATTGACATTGTTTTTCATATCTCCCCAGAAGGTCTAAAACTTAGTAATCAAATGTCTGTATCAGTAGCAGTTTAATTTTCTGGACATGGACTAAAAATATCTCTAAGCCCCTATGACTCTTGACTCCCCATGTTCAGATGAGCTGAATTCTTTTTCATGTTAGCTGGAAAGTATTCACAAAATGTCTGGGACCACTCACAGTACCTACCTCACTGCAGTCTCAGCTATAGACAAAGTATCTATCCAACAAGGATGCTGAAGAGGTAAGGATGGAAAATATCATTGAATAAATTAAATAATATTTAAATATTAATGAAAACTAATTATTAATAATTTTGAATAATTAAACATCATGATTGATGGGGTTGATATTCTTAGATCTTTATCCTATAGATGAATTTTTTGAATGGAAAGGTAGGCAAAGCAACAAGCCTGGGCTGATGATTGTCATCATGGTAGGTGCTGTTATCTCAGGCATCACTTTTTCACTGAGGTCACACAGCTGTGCTACTGAATGTCCCAGAAATCAGTGTTGCTATCTCCATATGTGACCTCCTAGGGTTTTAGTGTTCTATACTAATCAGTCAGTTTGCATTCTGAGGCTTCTGTGATGTGTACCCAGAGAAGTAATAAGGTAGATTTCTGTCTCTTCATGGACTTAACAAAAAAACGATACTCATTTTCTTTGGCTCATTTAGCATGGCTTGCAGTTGAAAGTTGTCAATCATGCTTATCTTTAGTGGATTAAAGCACCCTATCCTGTTGCAATACTTTAAGTTCAGGTGAATGATGTCAGTGAGCTCACAGCAGTCTACAGAATTTTTTCAGCCAGACATATTTTTATTTAAGGTTTCCTTCCCATATTGTAAATGTGTGGCCTAAGTGGAACAAAGAATTAAAATTTCAATTGAACAAAAATGTACTGATAGAGCTACTGTCCTTTCTTTTCAAGTAGTTTTCACCTACCATCCTAGAAAATTAGGAGTGTTAAATCAAGACAACCTATTCTATGTGCTCTTGAAAACTGAGTCTGTTCCCAGGTGCCACTTTGGAGCTATAGGTTAGGCTTAGTGTTAATGATCCATTTCTCTCTAACTATTTCAGTGTGGTTGTTGAAGAACTCTTTAGGAGGCCCACAAGTTTTAGAATGGATTTCTATTGCTGTGATAAAACACCTTGAACAAAAGAAACTTGGAGAAGAAACTGTTTATTCACTTCCATTTCCACATCACAGTTCATCATCAAAGGAAGTCAAGGTGGAGAATATGAGGCAGGGGCAAAAATGGAGGTCATGGAGCAGCACTCTTTACTGGCTTGCTGTTAGTAGATTGTTTACTCTTTCTTATAATGATCAGAACCACCAGAACAGACAATGGTGACAACAGCCACAGGGAGCTGGGCTACTCCCTAGAAGCAATCAACCAAGAAAATGCAACACATGTTTGCCCACAGGCCAATAATTTGGGGGCATATATTTTCTATTGAAATTCCTGCTTCCAAAATGACTCTAGCTTATGTCAAGTTGGTAAAAATCCTAGTTACCACAACCTAGTAATTTATATGATTTCTAAAGAACTTTCTGTAGCTATGAAATGTTCCTTCTGTCCATAAATAAGGGACTAAGTGAGTCAGTGTTGCTATAGAGTACATGTGAGCTAGGGAGAAAGAACTCAGTGTCTCATTCTTGGGGAAAAGTTCAAAGTGTCCTTGAAGTTAGGGAATCATTGTGCAGTAATTTTATAACTTTTATTCCATTTGTATTTGGCATATATTGATGAATAGTTCAAAAAACAAAAGGGAGTGCAATTGATTCAATTGAGAAGTCTCAGTGCATTATCATGATCCAAGAAATAGGATAGTTAATTGTGCATGAAGAATTGAGTAGAGAGTTTATCAGAACAAAGGTGGTAATAGAGATCACAGTGTATTAACACTGAAGTGTATACACTTGGTTAGTGTAGTCAAATGCCAGACACCAAAGTCTAAAAGTGAATGTTTCACTATTTGTATTTTCTCTTTACAGGTGGAAAAACTCCAACCCAATCTAGTGCTCCCATAACAGTATGTGGTAGTAACAGTAGCAGCTTTGCAGGGGAATATTCTATGACAACTCTGAGCAGCAGAAATGCCAGGTTATTCACTGCCAACAGGCCCATGGCCAATAATCTAATTGAACTAAGAAGAATGCCATGTATACCTGTGTGAGCAGAAAAACTTTCACACAGCACTTCAGGCTTGTCTTGTTATGATTCCCTTGCTCCAAGTGATGATAACACATAGATAGACTGGTAGAAATATAGATTCATTTCTACTCTTTTGATATACATGTTAAAAACAGACTTGAAAGGAGAAGTTTGTTCCTCACTGCATTTGTTTGAAATTATATTTTAAGACCAATAAGTAAAATAACTGATAATTTAAACGTTAAACAAATGGACAAAGCATTTGAACAAGCATTTGTAAATATCATCCAAATGACCAATAACTGAAAATGTACTTATCCTAATTAATAACCAGGAAATGCATATCAGTTCACAACATGATGCTATATAAAATCCCCAGTAGAGTGACTGATGGAAGCAGAGGCAAACACCTACATTTAAACACTGAACTGAACCCAAGGAACCCAGCGACAGAGAGAGAGAGAGGAGCGATGAGCAAATTGGCAAAGAATGGGCTGGCAAAACCAGCAGAGTCAGCTGATCCGGACAGTGGAGAGATCTTGGACCCCAGACCGACAGCTGGGAGGCCAGCATGGGACTGATCCAGACCCCCTGAATGTGAGAGTCAGTGAGGAGGCCTGGGCAACCTATGGGGTCAGTGTTTATCCCTCAAATACTAACAGACATCGTGCATCCATAACACAAAGAGGGATGCTCTCTCAGCCTGGACTCTTAGTGGAGTGCCTGGACCCTACCCTGAGTGAAATGACAGACTCTAGATATCCCCTATGTGGAAGGAATTGGCAATAGGGTGGGAGGTTTGGGGGGGATGGTGGGGGTGCGGGAGGATGGGAGGGAGAGGGAACTGGGATTGACATGTAAAACAAGCTATTTAAAATTAAAATAAAAAATTTGTAACCTCAAAAAAAATCCCCAGTAGATCAGAAACAGAAACAGTACATCCTAGATATTGTCAAGAATGAATGGTATCTGTTGTCCAATTAGGAGAATAAATTAGAATAATCTCTTTGGGAGACTTCTTGGGCTATAGCCACTGAAGTGGAACCTGTCAGATTGTGATGGGGGATGTCCTTCTGTGGTGATGGACAAAACACTGTTTGGCCAATATCCAGTAGAGGCAGGAAGATAGGGGGACTAGGAGATGAGGAGAAAGCTGGGACAGAGGCGCCATGAAGAGATGTCATGTAGAGACCAGGAAGATAGGAAATGACAGGCATATTCTGGTACGATAAGGCCATGTAGAAATACATAGTTTAGAATTCATGGGTTAATCATTAAGACAGAGCTAGCCAATAAGAAGCCCTAACAATCACCCAATGGCTTAATAATTATTATAAGTCTTTGTGTGCTTATTTGGGGCTGAAGTTAGTTCATAAGCCTCAAGTGGAATCAATGAAGTGGGGTCCCATCTTCTTTCTGGAGAGTTTAAAGGTTGGTGTTAGGAAATTTTTTGTTCGCTGTGGAGCACTTAAACATTAATATCAGCACAGAAAGTGTAACTTGCATTGGTAAACATACAGGGAAAGGTAACAATAAGGATGAAATTAAGAATGGGGAAATTTAGGATTTTAGAGAATACAGAGTTAAGACAATAGTAGTCGTAGATTTTGTTTTCTTTTGTCTTACACCAATGGTCTTTTGATATGAGACAGAAACTCTGAATTTTATTTAAGCAGCATGTTTGAATTTTGAGAAGGAGGCTGAAGTCCAACTCCAAAGCCAGGTTTTATTTTTATGTAAATAGTGACTACAATAATGCTGTGAAGCAGAGAACAGGAAGACAAGAGTTTAGTATAAATATTTGACCATACTTCAGATTCTTCTTTGTATGATGGTTCTTTCTGGATAGCTATGCTCTCTTTTTTAGGCATCTACACATTTGGTGTCTTTTTGCTTTTTGGAGTTGGGTTTTCCTGAAAATACAAGAACAAAACACTCTCCCTAGCTTTGTGAGGTCTCCGTACAACTTGTGGGATATACCTTGGTGGATGGCCTATCAATTCTCCTCATCAAGAGCTTTCTCCTGTTCAAACCAGATCTGGATCAACTTTGACGGTATCCAAAGATTTTCTTCTCCTGTAGAAACTAAGGTGAAATCCCTACCCCAACATAACACGTATCCTGGTTTCCATACTGAGGTCAATATATCCTTGAAGTATACCTGCTGATTTAGTTCAGAAGTTTTTTTTCATTGTGCAGTGTCTTTCTGCAGCTATTTTTCTTTTCTTATTAGCATTAAGAAAGTTTAATGCTAGTAAAGTATTATGTAATCTGTGTTTGGAGGTCTTTGTTCCCCCTACCAATTTATAGAACATTTCCTTTAAAGTGTGTTTAGATCTCTTAACCACTGCTTGTCCTGTAGGATTGTGTGGCATACCAGTTACATGCTTTATGTTATAATATTTAAAAACCTGTTTCAGTTTGGTGGAGACATATGCTGGAGCATTACCAGTTTTTATTTGTGAAGGTATACCCATAATAGCCTTTACCTCTAATAGGTGTATAATAACAGAATCAGCCTTTCAGAGTTTAGAACAGTGGCCATTGAAACCCTGAAAATGTGTCTATTGTATGGCACACATATTTTAATTTTCCAAATTATGCAAAGTAAAACACATCCATTTGTCATTTCTATGAATTCCTTTAGGGTTATTAACTGCTGGTGAAGGAGTTTGGTTATAAAACAACAAGTATGACATTTCTTTAATATTTCCTTAGCTTCTTGCCAAGTGATGGAAAAATCCCTTTTTAAACCTTTGCTATTCACATTGTTTTTTATGAAATATGAGGCCTCCAGCACACTTCCTATTAATGAATGCTCAGTTTCATCATTGCCTTGAGCTAGAGGATCTGAAAGGCCCATATGGGATCTGATCTGATGGGCTATATATGATGAGTCCTATTCCTGACTGTTTCTTGTACTGGTATAAACAATGAAGTTAATTCTGTATGATCAGGAATAAATTCATCAAATTCAGCTGTCTCAAAGTGTAATACTGAAGGAGTGTTAATCTGGGTATTCCTTTGCTGCAATGATCCTGACCCCATAGATTTATTGCTTTATCAGCCACATATGGTCTCAAGGTCATCCTCTTTGTCTTTCTGGAACTGTATGTTCAACCCATCTTGTGCTTTCTTTGTACTTAAGATAGGGTTCCAATCCCTAAGAACCAAACATTTGCTTCTGCAGAGGCCATCTTGGGAGTCAAGATTTTTGAGTTATAATTGTAACATCTTATCCTATGTCCACCAAGCTTCAGTGTTCCCACAATGAAGACATCTGGTATTTTACTTTTTTTTAAAACCTTTGGAAATTGCTTCTCTTAACCATGTCAGTGTCATAAACGTTATAGTCAATGTTGGTTGTGTGCAGGATCCATTCGTCCAATGGTGCTGATCTGATCCTTAAGGGCCAAATCACCTTTTTGCATTGTGGATTCCCATTCTCATGAGGTAAAGATTCTATGAGTATTCACCTAGATTCTGTATCTGCTAACCCTATTTGTACTGCTCTAAACAATCTTTGCAAAAATGCAGTATAACTTTCCCTCGGTTCCTGCAACTCCTTGGTTTGGGGTGCAATTCTCTCCCCTGGTTCCTAAACTTTATTCCAAGAATTCAAAGCTGCTGTATGGTACAGAGACAAGATGTGTTCATCATATGCAGCTTGAGTTCTGGATCAGCATAAAGATCCTCACCAAGAGTTTTATCCTGAAGAGCTATAAACCTTTCATTAAGCCAAGAGCTTTAGCTTCTTCCCTCCATAAAGCCCTCCATTCAATTTGAGACAAATTTTCAAAGACAACTGATATAAATTGACCCCAATCCCTAGGGGCCACCCTATTATTCTTTGTCTATGACTCTACTAATTGCCTCACATATGATGAATGCATGCTATAAGAGGCTACTGCTTCCTTTATACCTTTTAAATTTTTCATAGATATTGGTTCCCACTGACATTCAACAAAATGTTTGGGTCTTTTTTCATTGCTGGTTTTTCAGTAACAGTCACAGGGAAAGCCATAAAAGATGACATAACGACCTTAGGTAGGTCTTCCCTGACTCTGAAATATGCAGGTAATATTAAATCTTTATCACGCCCTATTATTTGTATCTCTGATTCTGGTGTGTCATATTGAAGGTCTTCTAAGGCCTGCAATCTATTGTTTCTCTGAGTGTTTGAACTTCCTGGCCCATATACATTTCTAAACATTTCATTGAATCAGTCAGTTTCTTGTTCTCTTGATTTATATATAATTCTAAATATTCTCATCCTTAGATATTATCTGAATAGCATGTAAATTGCCTTCCAGAAACAATGTTCTATCGGTTAGCTTGTTATTAGTCTCAGACATGGAACAAGATTTTTTGTAAGTATTTCAATGCTATGTTCCAATTTTCTATTCTGTATGTTGAATTTTTGGATATGGAACACATTTTTTTCTGATAGTATTTCAATGTTATATTCCATTTCTTTTGTTTTATTTGTCAAATCACTAGACATGGAACAAATTTTACCTGTTAGTTCAACATTTTTATATTTCATATTTTGCATTCTGTTTGTCAGATCTCCATTGCCATTTTCAATATCCTGAATCCTTTATTCTAAGTTCCCATTACTTTTCTACTTTGACTCCTATCTTCAGCTTTTAAAGCCAATATCTGTATCTGGGTTTTTATTAGTAATACAACTAGAGTTAGTGCCACATCAGTCATCCCACTTTTGGGGTATGAATTCACCAAAAAAGCCATTTTCCTGTAGTTACAACCACCAGCATGGCCTGAGGCACTATCCTACCAGCTAGTTTTTCTTTTTTCTCTCCTAACGGCCTTTTCTGAACCCCCTCCTTAGGCTGCTGCCAAACTAGGTAACTGCCTTGAAATTTTGTCAGGCTTATAATCTGTCTCAGTCAGCCTCATTTGTTCATCCTAAGGGATGGCAGATTTGATCAGGCAATTGGAATTCATAAAAGGAGGAATTAGTTAAAAGGGAGCATTTTCTCCCACACTAAAAATGGGAAACACAATTACAATAAAGATAGGTCTATGTATGATTATGCAATGCGTGATTTAAAAATGGATTAATTAAATGAAGGGATAAATTCACGTTACCAAAAGTCAAAGAAGAAAGGGGGTAAATCCACACACATAACCACCAGCAACAGCAAATCAAAGACCAACAAGAATTAACACTCAATGTTCATTAATTTCTCCCAATATCAATGGTCTTAACTTGCCTATAAAGAGACACAGGCTAACATAATAGATAGAAAGATAGAACCCATCCTTCTGCTGCATACAAAAAGCACATATCACCTTCAAAGACAGAGGTTACCTCAGGGTAGAGTGTTGGAAAAAGTTATTCAAATCTAATGGACTCAAGAAACAAGTTGGTGTAGCAATCCTAATACCTAATAATTAAACTTTAAACTAAAATCAATCAAAATAGATGAAGAAGATCATTTCATATTCATCACAGGAAAAATCT